TCTAGGAAAACGTTCTTCAAAGCGAGGACAACGACACTGAAAGTAAGCCCGCGGCACTTGTCGAGCCAGTGACACCTTTGGAAGCTTCGACAGGCGTCGAAGTTGCAGTAGTGGGAATGGCATGCCGATTTCCAGCTTCTCCCGCCAATCCGCGTGAATTCTGGCGAATGCTTCTTAGGGCGGAAGACTGTATAAGTGACGTGCCGCTGTCACGATTTGACATCAACGCATACAACACAGAGGCATCTAGTGACGGGAAAATTTATACCTGTGCCGGGGGAACAATCAGAAATATCGATTCCTTTGACTGTCACTTCTTTTCCATATCTCCACTGGAGGCTAAGCAAATGGACCCAAGACAGCGGGTGGCCCTTGAAGTTTCATATGAAGCTCTTTTGGATGCAGGCGTTGAACGAGGTGCCACAGACACGGACGTCACAGGAGTCTTTGTTGGTTCAATGAACCACGAAACCGCCCTTGAGGGAGGGCCCTTTGCTACTGCCTATACGGTCACTGCAGCACACATCAGCATTTTATCAAACAGAATATCATATGTGAATGGCTTTTCTGGGCCAAGTGTAACACTTGACACCGCTTGCTCCTCCTCTCTGGTTGCCCTTGATTTCGCCCTTAGTTATATGGCGAGCCAAGCGATTTCACAGGCTGTGGTTCTAGGGGTTAATCTCATGCTAAGAGTCGAGGCGTACCAACAGACCTGTAAAGCGCACATGCTCAGCATTGATGGAAGATGCAAAACCTTCGACGCGTCGGCCAACGGATACGTCCGCAGTGAGGGATGTGGTGCACTATTAGTGAAGGCTCTACCGCGTCACTCCACAGACCCAGGGGCTGTCTACGCCTGGATTCGGGGTGCTGCCAATAACCACGTAGGCAGAAGCGCAAGTCTCACTGCGCCCAATGGCCCTGCTCAACAAGCAGTCATTCGAGCGGCTCTCCACGATGCCCAAGTGAAGTCGCCTGCAGATGTGTCGGTGTTGGAGGCACATGGTACTGGGACGTCTCTGGGAGATCCTATCGAAGTTGGAGCGATCCGCGCAGTCTACTGCAATGGCTTTGCAGACAGCCCCCCACTGATAGTGGGCGCCTTGAAATCGCTCATGGGGCATTCTGAAGGGGCCGCAGGCATCGCTGGACTCATAAAGCTAATTCTGGTCCTGCAACACAGAATGGCTACTCCGAATCTGCATCTAAACATGCTAAACCCACACATTGACGTGACTAGAAGCGATAAGTACAGAGGCCTCATGTTTCCGAGCAAGTGTGTTCCCCTCGACGGCCTGTTTGGGATTCACGAGTCGCAGCCACTGCTGGGTGCGGTGAGTTCGTTCGGATTTGGAGGTTCCAATGCTCACGCAATTGTTGAGGTGGCCCCCACGTTCAAGTCGACCTGGGCGGTAACTGGAGAGCCGGCCAACGCCACTTCGGGAAAACGCTGTGCCAGTATTGTGTGGCTATTTACTGGACAAGGATCGCAATACCTAGATATGGCATGTGCTTACTTCAACCACAGTGCTGTATTCAGAAACACAATTTCCGAATGCACTGCGTGTTTGAAGGAAATGCACTGGTTCCCAGAAAGAGGCCCTCAAAGTATTGAAGACATGATATATGGCGCAGGAGCGCAACCCGACAGGAAGGCAATGGAGGAACTTTTAAGCCAAACGCAATACTCACAAGTTGCTATCGTCGCCGTTGAGCTAGGTTTGAGTCACGTGCTTCTGGACCGCGGGATGAAGCCCGACGTTGTGATTGGCCACAGCCTGGGTGAATACGCAGCGGCCGCTGTTGCTGGCGTGATGGGATGGAAGGATGCCTTGCGTCTTGTTGCAAGGCGCGCATCGCTACTGGCGGCCCAGCCCAGCAATGACGGAATCATGGTAGCTTGCCGGCTGCCAGCTGACAAAGTCCAAACTGCCCTTTCCAGCGACCTTCAACACTTGCACGCAGTCGCCCTTGCAGGAGACAATGCTCCACAAAGCGTGACGATTGCAGGAGCGAGGGATGAAGTGGACACGCTGCTTCGGCACCTTGGTGCTTCTGCTGCTGCCAAGCGCCTCCCAGTATCCCACGCTTTCCACTCTCCGCTCATGGCGGGTGCTGTTGCGGAGATGGAAGCAATTGTCAGCACAGTAAACCTACAGCCGGCGAACATACCCATTGCTTCGACGGTTCGTGGGCGAATGCTTGACCCATCAGAGCCTCAAGATCCACATTATTGGGGCGGGCAGCTTACGCTGCCTGTCAGGTTTAGGGAAGCTGTTATGGCAGCAGTTGAGTCATGCGGTTTGGATCACGTTATCTTTGTAGAGGTAGGGCCCCAACGAACTCTCATTAATTTGGCTACACAGACAATTGGTAAGCATGAGGGCCACACGGTGGAGATGTTCAACATGGTTGAAAGGGGTGAAGCAGCCGATGAAGAAACATTAATGGAGAGACTACAGAAGTGCCAACGCATATGCAGGGGCGAAGACGAGTTCATCTCCAAGCACAAGTGGAACCACCAGTAAGGCAGTTTTCCCGTTATCCCGTCAGTTCGGAAACGGTAATACCGAGCGCCGATTGCCGTGGCCCTTCCAGTGGCGCTCCGCTGGCAATTTTCAACGAACTAGCACAACAGTTTTTCCGCGTCCGCTTCATTTTTTCGCAGGTCTTTTGAATGGAGGAAAATATCTCACCCACTCATCGACAGCGACACTGCAGATCTCAGTACTGAGCCAGAAAATGGCGTCGCAATTTGTGAAGCAAGCGTGCGCAACGGCACGCTGAGCGTTCTGAGGGACCATCTTGTGTGGGGTATACCCATTCTTCGAGGCGTTGGCTTCATCGACGCAATGCTAGGTGCTGCTTTAGCTCGATACGGCTGCACACTTGGGGAGGCCTGCATCGAGCTGCATAATGTAGCCATTCTCAAGCCGATGATTTTGTACGAAGGCCCTGAAACATGGGGAACCCATATCGTACATTGTCCAACCAGCCGAAGCGGTGTTCATCTGAAGATACGGCTAGAAGAGGCAGATGAATGCACGTACGCTACCCTTTCCTCACACCACGCTGGAGGAGTCGCAGCCGATACAGCTCTCTCTGCTGAGGTTACTCATGCTGAAGGCTGGATTTCGCTGATGGAAGATGCAAATTCTGTGAAGCCACCACCACTGGATGTCGAGGGGAGCACTAAACGCATGACTGAAAACATGACTCTGCATTACGGTGCTGCTGAAGCCTACGAAGAACTTCGGCGGCGTGGACTAGAATACGGACCGTGCTTTCAAACTATTAAGGACATGCTGATTGCAGGCAATTCTGCACTTGTGAAGCTGCAGTTCCACCACGAAGTTGCTGATTTCGAACGCAGCTTTATTTTGCATCCCTCAATCTTCGACGGATGTGTGCAGGCCGCAGCACTCCTTGCCTTCAGCGTGCATAGCTGCGCAACAGCCCTTGTGCCTGTTAGAGCCTCCACAATACGAGTGTGGAATAGTACACGTGCATCGAATAACTGCTACTGGGCAGAAATAAGCGTGATAACTGGTAGTAAGGACGCAACGACAGAGTCTGATGGCACTCTCGTTTCCATCACTTTGTTTGATGACAGCGCCAATTCGATTGCACAGATTGGTACCATGTGCTTACAACCAGTAGTGTCGAATCAGATCTTTCCTGCAGAGAGGGACCTTGGACGTGGGCTATTGTGGGGCGAGAAATGGATCGAAAGAAAGGCATGGCAGACATATTCGAAGCCTGCTACGCAGAGGCGGGCAATGCATTGGCTTGTGCATGGAGTAGAGACTGAGGATTCTAGCCCATTGATTCAAACAGTGGATTCAAGCACCACTATTGAACTGCACTATGCCTCTAAGGCCTTGCGAAACCGGTGGGAGAGCGTTAGTTTAGCTGAGTGGGATGCAGTGGTGCACTTTGGTGGCGCATGTCGAAGCTGGAGCTCTGCAGAAGAATACATTGGTGATGTCATGGATTTCCTGCAGAGTATCGCAGAACAGATTAATGGTAATGGGTCTGAGACCCTTCCTCCAGTGGTCATTGTGGTTGGAGGTGCCTCCGCTGTGCTTCCCGAGGAAGAGGCCGCACACCCATTGCTTGCCGGAGTTCGAGGTCTATGCCGGACAGCACGTCTTGAAATGGAAGCAATTGCAAACCGTCCGGTTCCCCTTGTTCTGCTAGATATAGAGCCACCCCATTTGGAAACTGTGCATCCTACAGTCGGCATGCTCCAGCAGGTCGCGTCGATTCTGCTTTCCCCCAGCTTCACAAAATACACTCAATCTTTCGCAGCAGACGGTCGCGAATATATCGAAACCGAGCTCGCTGTCCGTAGTGGTCGCGTGCTCAGTCCTCAGCTTGTGTTCAGCGGGATCCAGCTTCTACCGGTTGCGCGTGTGAAGTGCAATATAGGAAGCGGGGAAACATTCGTAATATCGGGCGGCCTTGGCGGGCTCGGTCTCACTGTAGCCCACTGGCTTGCGGATAACGGCGCCAATGCATTGATTTTGCTCTCCAGGACGGGAACGCCGCCACGTGACGGAGCCACGGCGAAACTTTGGCAGCAGCTCATAGAGAAGCATAGCGGTACACAAATCATCGTCCAGAGATGCGACGTTTGTCGTCTATCTGATGTCAAGAATCTGTTCGATGGTATTGCACGGGGATGCCTCGTTTGTCACGTTACCAGCAAGGTATGCTTTGTAGGCCCGTTAAGTGGCATCTTCCACAGTGCAGGTGTACTGGTAGACAGACCACTGGCGCAACAAGACCGTAGCTCTTTGGAGCTAGTATTCCGACCAAAGGTAGAAGGAGCATGGAATATGCACAATTGCCTCTCCGCGCTGGGGATGGAAGAGCGATTGAAGTACTTCGTAATGTTTTCGTCGTCGGTTGGACTGCTTGGGAACGCCGGCCAGGCAAACTATGCAGCCGCCAACTGCTGTCTTGATGAATTGGCAAGGTACCGGCGCTCGCGGGGTCTTGTTGCCCATAGCATTCAGTGGGGCCCTTGGGTGGTACAAGGCATGGCTACTCAGCTGAAAGGGCGCTTTGCGAAGGCGGGATTTGGAGGGATTTCTAACCCACTGGGACTGCTGGCGCTCAGTGCAATTTTGCAACAAAATGTAGAAGCTGTTGTGGGATGCCAACCGCTGTACTGGAGCCGCTTCTTGCTGCGTTATAAATTCGGCATTCCAGTAGCCTTCCAACAGTTTGGAATGCTTGAATCGGGTGCATCGAAGTCATCTGCCGGCACTTCAGGCCACAAAGGTGGAAGTTTCGTAGAGCCTGCGCATAAAGCAAGTAGAGTACAGCAAAAGGACAAGCGCGAGCGCATCAAACAGGCCATCATGACAGCTGCGAAGTCTGTTTTGAATGATTCTACTGACTTAAGTGCAGACGCTCCTTTACAGGAGCTTGGAATCGACTCTTTGGGGGCAATTGAGTTCCGAGACTCAGTTCAAAACGCACTCAATGTAAGACTCAGCGCAACTGTTCTATTTGACCATCCAACTGTCGACGCGCTGACGAAGTTCCTTTTGCAAGAAGTAAGCGAGGACAACGACACTGAAAGTAAGCCCGCGGCACTTGTCGAGCCAGTGACACCTTTGGAAGCTTCAGGAGACGTCGAAGCTGCGGTAGTGGGAATGGCATGCCGGTTTCCAGGGTCGGACAGTGACCCTAGTGGATTTTGGAGGATGCTTTCCCATGGTATAGATTGCTTATCCAACATTCCTGAAAACAGGTTTGACGTTGATGGTTCATACAATCCAGACCCTGATGCTCCCGGTAAGATGTATGTGCGCCAAGGAGGGTTCATTGGATATATGGATCTTTTCGACAACCACTTTTTTCATATTTCCGATGGAGAAGCAAGACAAATGGATCCTCGACAACGCGTTTCACTCGAAGTAGCATTTGAAGCTGTTGTTGATGCCGGGTTTAATGACTTGGAAGACTTGAAAGGTCTTCCTATTGACGTCTTTGTTGGTTCAATGAACCACGAGGACGTCTTCAAGGACCTCTCCGCCATCACAGCGTTCACAGCGACATCGAATGCCGTATCAATATTAGCAAACCGAATATCGTATTTCTACTCTCTGACAGGCCAAAGCGTGTCAGTTGATACCGCGTGCTCATCCTCTCTTGTTGCCCTTTGCCTCTCCCTACCATCGCTCCATTCACAGGAAAGGACTGCACTGGTAGTTGGCGTCAACGCGCTTCTCTCAGCAGCTTATTTTGTTCAGACATGCAAAGCGCACATGCTCAGCATTGATGGAAGATGCAAAACCTTCGACGCGTCGGCCAACGGATACGTCCGCAGTGAGGGATGTGGTGCACTATTAGTGAAGGCTCTACCGCGTCACTCCACGGACCCAGGGGCTGTCTACGCCTGGATTCGGGGTGCTGCCAATAACCACGTAGGCAGAAGCGCAAGTCTCACTGCGCCCAATGGCCCTGCTCAACAAGCAGTCATTCGAGCGGCTCTCCACGATGCCCAAGTGAAGTCGCCTGCAGATGTGTCGGTGTTGGAGGCACATGGTACTGGGACGTCTCTGGGAGATCCTATCGAAGTTGGAGCGATCCGCGCAGTCTACTGCAAT